CAGACTCCTGGAGGGGCCCCTTACGACCCAAGCGCAATATCAAGCCACCTCGTGGCATACATATCTCAGGACCTCGGCCTCATAATCAAAATCAGTGTATCACAGCTGCGGCATGCAGCCCGACCCAAAAGATATCCTCACAACACAGGCCCTCGGACTTACTCAGTCAAAAATCACATAAACCTCTCGGGCAACAGTAAAACATGATGCTCAGCCCAAAAATATTATTTAAAATATCATTTCAAGTGTTAAAGTAGAGCAAACATGGTTGAGTTTTGAAAACAGTGGAAAATAACATGACTGAGTTCAAGTATAAAGTCAAAACAGTGAGGAAATATCAACAAAAATTCCCGAAGGGTTCAAATAGTTGGCACGAAGCCCAAATATGGCATTCAGCCAAAATATGGCATTCAGCCCAAATAATGATAATAGCAAATAGATTTCAGTCAAATACGAGGTAAAATCATCAATCTGGACGGACTAAGTCACAATCCCCAATAGTGCACGACCCCACGCTCATCATCAAGTGTGTGTCTCACCTTAATATAGCACTACGATGTGCAATCCAGGGTTTCAAACCCTCAGAACATCATTTACAATCATTACTCACCTCGATCCAGTCCAATCTCTAGCTCGTGATGCCTTTGCTCACACAAATCGACCTCTGGATTCTCCAAATCTAGCCACAATCAGTACAAAATCATTAAAATGTGCTAAGGGATTGAAGCCCACTCGAAAATATCCAATTTACATCAACGAAATTGCTCAAACCCGGCCCCCGGGCCCACATCTTGGAATCTGATAAAATTAATATTAATGGAATCCTCATCCTCTCACGAGTTCATACATATCAAGAACATCAAAATCGAACCTCAAATGGCCCCTCAAATCCCCACTTAATGTTCTCTTAATCCCAAGCCCTAATCCCTCAATTTTCTTCCTAAATTTCCACTAATACCATGATTAAACAATGGAAAAATGATCATAAACATGAGTAATGAGGCTTAGGAAACTTACCCAACTGATTCTATTCGATTCTCCCTTGAATTCACGAAGGAACATTATATACTTTCCGACCCAGGTATTTCCGCACCTGCGGTCCCATTACCGCTTCTGCTGTCCCGCTTCTGCGGTCCCGCTTCTGCGACTTTTCCACCGCATCTGCGGTTAAACACTCACACCTGCGCTACCGCAGGTGTGCCCACGACACAGCTTCTGCGGTTCCTGAAGGACTTCACATTGGCCGCATCTGCGGCTGCTTTACGCATCCGCGATAATCACACCTGCGACCTCCTAATCGCAGGTGCGGTTATGACAGAACCAAAAGCTTCAGTTGTAACTCAAATTCCACATTCTTCCGTCAACCACCCGAAATCACTCCGGGACCTCAACCAAAAGCACAAACATATCCCAATACCTTATTCAAATTTGTTCCAATCTTCAAAATACCTCAAATAACATCAAATCTTCCACAACATATGGGATTCAAGCCAAACTTTCTGAAATCTTTCGAATTTCGTTTTGATCAAAACTTCAACCAAACCACGTCCGAATGACCTGAAATTTTGCACGCACATCCCAAATGACATAACAGAACTATTGCAACTTCCGGAATTCCATTCCGACCCCTATATCAAAATCTTACCTATCAACCGGAAAACACTAAATTCTCAATTTCGCCAATTCATGCCTAAACCTTCCATGGACCTCCAAAATGCATTTCGATCACGCTCCTAAGTTCCAAATAACCTAACAGAGCTAACCAAATCATAAAAATCCCGATCCAGGATCATATACCAATAAGTCAAATCTTGGTCAAACCTTTCAAATTTCAAGCTTCGAACTAAGAGTTGTTCTTCCAAATTCATTCCGATTACCCTGAAAACCAAAACCAACAATTTACATAAGTCAAAATCCCTCACACGGGGCAAGTCATTCCCGAGAACTGACGAACAAAGTGCAAAAGCTCAAAACGACCGGTCGGGTCGTTACACCTGATCAACCCCGTTAGTAAGCTTTCGAAGCCAATGCTTCGCGTCATCCTTTAGTGAAAAGGGGAATGCCCTTAAGTATACCGCATCTTTTGACACTCCGTTGTACTGGAAGTTGTTCATGATTTTCCTCAAAATCCATCAAGTGAGTATTAGGGTCTTCATTCACCTTCTCTCTGAAGACACAGTTGTTCTGGATAGTTGGAAGCAAGCCTTGCTTCAACTCAAAATCATTCGCTGCTACTGGTGGAGGTCTGACACTAGATAGTCCCTGATTGTAGACTGGTTTGGTATAATCACCCAATGCTCTACCAGGCCTGGGTACCGCATTCTCGAGATTATGGAGATCTTGCGTATAAACTTCTAGCATATTATCTTGGAACTCCAGCACACGAGAAATTCCAGCATAATATGCGAGATTATGGAGCTCCTACATATAAACTTCCAGCATATTATGATAGAACTCCAGCACATTATAAAATTCTAGCATATTATGTTGGCAGCTCATATGTAACAAATTCGAACTCCAACATATTATGTTGGAATATTTCCGAATTTTTAAGAGTGTTTTTGTTCAGATTTTATCTTTACATGAAAAGTAACTAAATTTCGATTACTTTTGAAATTGTGGCTATTTTTCATTTAGCAGTTGTAAATATGATTATTTCTAATTTTTATCCAAGAAATATTGGACAAAATATAAAGAGATAGTAGTAAAGAGTTCCTAAAATTTTGGTGTCTGTTGTGGATATTTCGTGCCATGTACATTGAAGATTGACTTGCCTTAGACATGGTGAAAAGGCATACGAATGGACTAATTCCTAAGTTATAGAATGACGGGCTTGTCTTGACTTAGATTAGTTGCCATAAATTCGTGACCCCAAGTGTCTTCACCAAGCCACATTAATTTCGGTTATACAAATTTTATACACTTTTATGGTTATCAAATATAAATAGTTTCTGGCGCGGATTAAAAGTAAGAAATTTCACCAAATTACATTAGTTTACTATATATAGTCAAGTATAAATTGAAGTGATAATATATACTCCAACAAATGTGACAGATGTTATTGCACAGAATTTAAGAAAGAACGAGAGATTTTTGAAACTTATAATTTAAAACAAGTCATAAATATTTTTATAATTATAAATCATCTTATGAAGGATAAAAATTTAAAATTTCAATTTTAATTATTTTTTGAATATAACAATATGTCATTTTTTTGGATATAATAAAAAAATATGACATAAAATGGGAAGATTGGAGGGCAAAATCCTGCGAAATTTACAAGTCCCATATTTACACCTAATACGACATATCATTCCTTTATTTGACGGTTCAAAGTCCAATAGATGCTACTTTTACAGGGAAAAATTCAAAGATTTAAATGCCAGCACTACTATCCATAAGCTCTGAGACAGGGAAATTAAAGAGTGAGACAGATGAAGAAGAAAATGTTCTGAAAAGAAGCAAATAAATAAGGCATTGGCTTTCCAAATTGAGTTTCCCCAACAACAATGTGCATATTTTTATAGTGTCACCCTGCCTTCAACGTTCAAAAACCCCTCTTGTTCTACACATAGATACTTGCACTTCAAATAATACATGGCCGCCACCACTATTAATTCAATTTCAAATCTTTAAATTCCACTGCAATTCTGCTGCCTTCATCCCCAGGCTAACTGGCTATAAGTAACATACTACTATATAACATTTATTTAACTTTTCAAGTTGGTGTTTGTTAAAAGCTGATTTGACCAAAAGAATTAAGTGGCATTTTAGGAGAAGCATTTGGAGATTCGCTGAGAATCTAAGTTAAAACCATCCCAGGTAAGTTCCTATCTTTCCATTTCTTGATTTGTCATTTTTAGCTGCTATGTCTTTCTACAAACTAAATGTAATGAAGTTAGCGTCAATAGCCAAATTTCGAAATATTTTCCTACTCACCAAGTCTTGTGTGTTTTTTTTAAGGGTGTTTGGATCGTTTTTTTTTTTAAGGTTTTTTAGTATTTGGCAAAGCTATAAATTGTTTAGAATAAGTTAAAAACAGTTTAAAACAACCCAAAAATAATAAGTTGGGCAACCTCAACTTATTGCTTTTTCGCTTAAAAGTTATTTTTGCTGAAAAACCCACTTTTTAAAGCCAATTCAAACGGGCTCTTAATCAGGGTGAATTGTAATTGTGATACAGTAAATCCTTTCTATAACAATCTCGTTTGTTCCAAATAATTTTGGATGTTATAACGAAGTGCTGTTATATAGAACATATATTATAACATAACATGAAATTTGGTTCCGGAAAAACTTGACTTTTATAGTAAAATGTTGTTATATAAAGATATTGTTATAAAGAGGTCTGATCGTAATAACCAAAGAACACCAAGAAGAAAACACGGTTATGAACTAGTGATAGAGCAAAGCCCCTTTTTAGTGAGGATTTGAGCGTATTTAGCCACACAACCATAAATAGTAATCTCTCATTTCATTTTATGTAGCAGTATTTCACTCACTTAAAACATCTAAGAAGAAATGATGATTTTTGGTACGCACTAACAGTACATACTGAATTTGTGGTCTTAAACATGTTATGTAGAATATTTTTGTGACTAAGAAGCATGTTATTAAGGATAAAAACTTTTAAAGTTAAAGAATTCTCAAACGTAGAAGTGTGTTACTTTTTCTGAAATAAACTTTAAAAAAAAAAAACTATGTTACGTAAAATAGAATATAGGAAGTAATAATTGCATATGGTGGATAGAACTCTGGTAATATTACAAAGTTACCTCCGGGAAATGTTACAACCTACTTATATTGTCTTCATAATATAGGAAGATAGTGAAAATATGCACATCTTTTAATGATATTGACACATGCATTGGGGGAAAAATGGACTGCAAATTTTGCTTTTGCTCTCTGTTCTAGAACTACAAGCATGCTTCACCTAGTATCTCTATATATATAGTTCTTTATCATTAATAAACAGACAACTCCAACTTTTTGTTTTTTTACAGAGATCAAGACTAAAGTTGTAGAAATCTTTGTTCATAAACTCTTTTATTAAGAAGCTAAAATGCCAAGATCAAGGTGAGCTCTTGAGACCTTTGAACACCACTCACTCACTCAGTAATACTACAGTAATATTTTTGCAACTCCTTTTTTTTTTTTTTACAGCAAGTTTTCTGTTTCATTTTAAATAGGGGATCAGATATGGCTCAAAGGCAATCACCTAGAGGTCCTTTACAACTCAGAACATCAAGCTCTGATTCTGATCAGAGAACTCCTAAATTGGGAAATCATCGATCGCCACGAGGCGCTCAATCTGATCCACTAAATCAAAGGAAACTTGGTACCAGAATTGCAGATTTGGACTGTCAACTTGGGAAAGCACAAGAAGAGCTCAAAAATCTCAAGCAGCAGTTAACTTCAGTTGAAGCAGCAAAGAAAGCAACTCAAGAACAGCTTGAGAAAAAAACCAAGAAACCTACTATCCCACAACCAGAGGAAATCCAAGAACCAACAGAAACTGATGTTTTTGAAGTTCCAGTTGAGAATGTTAAAGTGAAACCACAAAATGTTGAGATTTGCAACCCCATTAATGAAGATGAGCTAAAGATCACAGCTTTATCATATGAGGAGATGGATTTGAAGAATGAAGAAATAAGCTTGTTGAAAGCCAAGTTGGAGGAGAAAGAAAAAGAGATTCAAGTGTTTTGTCAAGAAAATGAGAGCCTGAAAAAAGAGCTGAATGATAAGACACTGGAAATTTCATCCACTAAAGCTAAAGCAGAGGAAATGAATCTCAAGTTTGACCAAGTAATTCAAGAACTTGAAACAACTAAGAGTAATGCTTTTGAGATAAATGAGAAACTTGAAGAAAGCGAAAAGGCGAAGGAGGAATTAGAGAGTGAAATGAAGAAACTGAGAGTACAAACAGAACAATGGAGGAAAGCTGCAGATGCTGCAGCAGCTGTGCTGGCTGGAGAAGTGGAGATGAATGGGAGAAGGCTTTCTCAGAGGTGTGGATCAATGGATTATAAGCGCTACGGTAATGTATTCGAACCAGAAGTTGGAGGATATGGTAGTTACATGGGTTACCCAGGGTTATATGATGACTCTGATGAAGGTTTAGGGCATGTGAAGAGGAAAGGTTCTGGTATTAAGATGTTTGGCGATATGTGGAGGAAGAAGAGCCAGAAATAAGCTATTTTTAACACTCAGAAAACTTCTGTCAAATGTTGTGATGACCCAAAAGGTATCACTTGTGTTGTAATGAAATTCTACATTTCGAGGCCTTAAAAACCTCCCTTAGCACCACCTTGATTTGCGTGTGCAGTCCGGACACGTAGCCGAAAAGCTTAAATGTGAAAATCTGTGAAAAATGATAAGTTTTGACTGTAAAATGAATAAATTTGACTTCGGTCAACGTTTTGGGTAAATGGACCCGGGCCCGTCACTTGACGGTCCTGAAGGGTCCGTAGGAAAATATGGGACTTGGGCATATGCCCGGAATCAGATTTCGAGGTCTCAAACCCGAGAAACGAATTTTTTAAAGAAAATTGTTTTCTGAAATTATTTAAAAAAATTTGAAATTAAATTTGTTTAGAACATGGTGGTATCGGGTCCGTATTTTGGTTCCGGCGCCCGGTACAGATCTTATATATGATTTAAGACATTTCTGTGGAATTTGGTGAAAACGGATGTCATATGACGTGATTCGGACTTAAATTGCAAAATTGATGTTTAAAGAAGTTTTGAGAAAATTTCATTGATCTCGAGATTTAATTTGATGTTCATGATGTTATTTTGATGATTTGATTACACGAATAAGTTCGTAGGATGTTTTTGAGGTTTTGTGTGCGCTTGGTTTCGAGTTTCGAGGCCTCGAGTGAGTTTCGGGTAGGTTCCGGGGTGTCTTAGGCTTAAAAACTGAGCTGTTGCAGGCTCAGAGAGGTGGAGGACCTCTGAACATGCGAGTGCGGTCCGCACGATATGAACTGCTGCCGCGAAGAGGCCTGTGCGGCCGCACTAGTTTTTGTGCGGCCGCACTAGTTTTGGTGCGGTCCGCAGTGAAGAACAATTCACTGGTCCGACTTCGGAAGCCTATATCTTTTGATCTACAAGGTATTTTGAGATTATTCAAGAACGAAGGTTGTAGTCCTTCGTGTCTAGTTTCCTGAAAGGTAAAGAAATCACAATTTGGACATCTGTAGAGAAGGTTATGGCCAAAATACTAAGACCTGTCACTGCAGAACACAGGATGCCTATGCGGCCGCAGTTGATTTTGTGCGGTCCGCACAGGGCATCTGAGGGCAGTATATTTAGACGGAATTTTCAGTTATTTTTCATTTTTTAAGACTCCAAAACATTAGAGACGAATTTTTCAAACAACCTTTCTTCTCCAAATCAATTGTAAGTCATTTTTAACTATTTTTCTTCAATCATTAACATCTTTTAACATGATTTCAACTTCAAATCAATGATTTTCATGGGGGAAATTGGGTGTTTTGGGTAGAACCTAGGTTTTTCAAAAATTGGGGATTTGGACCTCGATTTGAGGTCCGATTTCAAAACAAATTACATATTTGAGCTCGTGGGGGAATGGGTAATCGGGTTTTGGTTCGAACCTCAAGTTTTGACCACGTGGGCCCGGGGGCGACTTTTTGGGTAAAACTTTGGAAAACTCATTTTCATGCATTCAAATTGATTCATTTAGCGTT